ATATATATATATATATATAGTTCTGGCCTCCAGCTTCCATACAGAAGCCTCAAGAATGCTGTATTGCATGTTGTTTCAACTGGCATGTAGCAGATCTGATTGTTGTGTTTAGCAAAAAGGACGACAGAGGAAAGAAAGAAATGAGATGATGGATTTGAAGAATGACGACCGGCTTGACCGGAAACTACATGTGTGTGTGTGGTTCACAGCTACCTCGTTTCCTCTTGTGTCTGGACAGGTCCATTGCGAGAGTGGGGTATGTCGGGCTTAGTGGGCAAAGGTTTGAGTTCATCCAGATCGGTCGCAGTTTTTCGGATGGGAGCCATTTGCTAGAATGAAGCCCGCTTTGGTCTGGCAACAGGCATCTAGCAGCCGGCCTTGGTTTCCGAGCTGGAATTGTTTTGCCCATGACCGGAAAAGTTCCGGAGCTGAACGCAGAGGACGGGGCTTCTTTCCCGCAAAATATAGTCGACCATTGCAGGATTGAGATCGTGCGCCGGCAGGCCAAAGTTTCGCCATCTCAGCCAGTGGTTTCAAAAGTGAACGTCTGCATTTTCTGCAAGCTTGGCTGCGGGATACCTATGAGTTTAGGGATTCGGATCCGCTTGTTTCTATATACATGAGCCCTACCCATCCCCCACCCACCCGCCCGCCCGCCCGCCCGCCCGCACGCACGCACGCACGCACGCACGCACGCACGCACGCATGCACGGTCAACGCTGAAGTAAAATGTGAATGCGTGGTGCCACGACGAGGCTTCCTCGTGCGGAAGACCAATAGCGGAAGACCAATAAGCCAGTTCAAGCTCTGCATATCGTCGGGAAGGCGAATGCCAGAGTATCCCATTCCCAAGCACTGGCCTTCTAATTACGCTTGATGCTGCCTGTGATTCTTTGGCACGAAAGTCGCAGACTGTACCCAATTGTACGTGTGCTGGAGTGGCAATGGTGCTGCGCAGCTGCCACATCGCTTTGCATGCCGCGGCTATGATCGGTAGCTTGGTTTGCATACAGGTTGCATCGCTTTGCAGGTGACCCGGTGGCCATGTCGCTTTTCCGAATTCGAGAGACATTTCTGGAACATGCCCACCATGTTGCATTCGCATGCCTCCGTGCTCGTTGACTGTTGGAGGCTGCAGTGCCAGTGCTGCTGTACGTCAGGGACCTGTTGCTCCTGGAACTCAGGACAGGGAACGGAGGTTTTGCTTCAGGGTTGACTCTGGCATGCCTTGGCTTTGTGGATTACAAGTTCTGGCACCATGGTGGCAGCTGTGCATGTGCCGCTCTTCCTGCGGAACTGCCCATGTAAGTATCAGACAAAACCTCTGGAAGAGCAATACAGGACACGTGATGTCCAAGAATTCCGCTCTGACAGCAAAACCGATAGCGGTAAACCAGACACATACTCGTACCGCATCCCTGCATAATCGATGAGGACCAACACGAATTATAGCACTGAAGAAGAGTCCAAGAGGTTTTGATCGCCAGCCATGTGTGTATCACGTGCCTTTCAACGAGGGTCCTCATGTCTTAAGCCCCTGCGTCGTATTCCTGCACTACTGAGTGACATGTTTCATCACCGCATGTACGGATTGCGCCTTGCCTTGGGCCGTTTGACATCCTGTGAACTGGATTTTAAAGGGATGGTGCAAGGCTCGCAGGAGACCCCTACTTTGTGAAGGCCGCTCGCAGGCAGAGAGCCAACTTTGGAAGGAGCAACACCTGAGACACACTCGCCACAGTTTTGCTTCGACATTTTGCACCATCATCGATCGTTCAGGCGACGACAGTGCGACAGAAACAACCTGAAATTCAATCACGCGTACTTAGCATCGAAAATGGTGAACAAATGTTCTGGCCTTGAGCTGAAGTGCAGGATGCTTGTAAGTCAGCCTCTGAAGACGTGGCCCTCCTGCAGAGCTCCTCGCCATTTATACATGCTCGAGGCTTTCCCTTAATTATGTTGAGTTGCGGTTTTCAATACTATGAGTCTAGATGAATCTTAGTTTGCCGTGATCGTAGCGGTGGCGGCAGCAGGGCGAAGAGCCTAGAAGCTGGGCCTAGAACCGTCGATTTGGCGAGCAAAGCACAGGCCGAACGGCAGAGCAGACTGGAACCGCAGTTGTTTCTTGCTTGGGTCCACAACATCATGAAGGCAGAGCCGACTCCGCTCAACCCTGCAGAAAAGAAAAGCAGACCTTGACGCCAACGCCGTAAGGTTCCAGAGCCGCGACCTCCAGAGACATGGCCGAGGAGGCCGCAAGATTCTGGAGCTCACATACTTTTAGGCAGATGGCTCATGGGCAGAAGTGCGATGGGTGTAGAGGCAGAGGCAGGAGGCACATCCTCGCTTCTACTCAGACGACATGTGTTGTGGAGGAGCCGGCAAATTTGAGCTATGCTGTGCGTGGCATGCCGCCAATGTTGGCTCGGTGTCCAAGTGCACGTGGTGACAATGACTGCAAGTTCAAGGTGTCTCGGCCTGCAACGGAGTGATCAACTACTGCTGCTTTCTAAACGCATGCACGCGCTGCCCTTGACAAGATGAAAATACAGGGCAGAGGGCCGGGAGTGGGGAGCTCGCCGCGGCAACGATCCGGAGGTGTTGCGGTCCCTTGCTGTGTTGCAGTAAGGGAAGGATAGGGCATCCTTGTCTCAGAAAAACTCTCACCGCTTCGGCCGGGGGCGAGGCGCCAAGAGATGCAAACGGCAAGTGCTGTGACCACTGAGAGTGTATTGCTCGATGCATGCTAGAACACCCCAAACAATCTTGCAGACGATCCCGGGTGTTTCCGGATGTCCGCAGCCAGATCCCAGCCTGACTACGCATCCCAGGATTACACTTGCACGAGGTCGGGCGCAAAGAAGGCTGTTGGAGGCTGAGTTGAGGGTTCCGGGCGCAGGGACGCTGCGACGGGTGCAGAAGTCAGTATACCCAAAGCCGAGGTGCCGAATGCCAAGGCCACCCGGTCCGCGTCGATGTGTTCTTTGTCCCAGCTGGTGCAGAATCCGTCCGCGACTATGTATGCCATACAGAGACATGATGGGGCTGGTACTCGCATCGCACAAACCCTGCTGAGCTTGGCGCACGCAGCCCAGAACAACTTGGGTTTTGGCGGTTTCTTCACCGACGGAATTTTCGTACTGCATGCGCAACACGGAGCTGACGTGCCAAGAGCCATGAGTGCTTTCATGGGTTGCAACTATTCGGAACTGGTGGTGGACGCCACCACATATCAGTTTGATCGGTGTTGGAACGGCAGAGATACGTTGGGTAATGTCAAGGACGGCGAGGAGATCCTTCTGGCAGAGTGCAGTGGCATGGAGTGCCGACGAGACCTGGCGGTTCTCACCTTACCGTTTCTGTCACACCTGCGAAAGTCCACCTCGCTTCTGAGGCATGCAACGCCTTACTTCATAGGGAAGGAGATGAAGGTTGTCATTCATATACGCCGAGGGGATGAAGTTCCACCCAAACCTGCTGCTAAGATGGTGAATAACCTGCATTACGCATCCGACGCCTTGTACCTGGATTTCTTGCGCATGCTCCGCCAGCGTGTGCGGAACGTCGATGTTCATATCATCAGTACAACGGAGGACGGCTTCCCCAGCCAAAACTTCGATGTCTACAGAAACCTTGGTGTGCAAGTTCACCTGGATGGTGACATTATTGATGATTGGGCTCACATGGCTCAGGCCGATTTGCTTCTCATTGCTCCCAGTACCTACTCGTGGGTAGCTGGCCTGCTCAACGAAACTGTGCCTAATTTCGTTAAACATTTATTTTTTCTGTTCAAAGAGCTGCAGCACTAGCCTTGTGGCTACTAGGGATGCAGAAGCAATGCAGGAGAAGTGTGTTGCAATTTTCAATCTCTTTGCGTACCCCATCGTGTTGGACTGGATTGAACTGAGCGCCGACTTGCACGAGTTCAAGGATGTTGAGAGCTGCCTTTCAAAGAGAGGACGCTACATGTAGCTGGAAAGAACAGACAAGTTTGAGCCATAAATGTGGCCACATGCTGCTGAGGACCGAAAGGACATGAAAGTATGAAAGTGCTTCTCTCTACTCGTGAAACTCCACTTCCAACTGATTCCAGCTTCGCCATTATGGACCAATTGCGAGTCTTCGCTCCGAATCTCACCGCTCCTGCGTGCATAGTCCATAAGCCCGCTAAACTCACCCTGCAGTATGTCCGGTTGAAGGTTGTGGTGGGTCCTGGTTCTTATGCTCCATCCCCGATGGTGATTTCGGATGTGATGTTTCCAGGTCGCTCAAGAGTGCTTGGGAGGTGTGATACTACGGTAAGGCATGACTCGTGGACTTGTCGCATCAGCGCTTGGGATGGTCGATTCGAAGTTTTTTGGTGCTGGTCCAAGTCTTTGGTCTAGTTGTGGTACACTTAATCCGCAACTCCTGTGGAAGGATTGCTCACAGAGGCAAGCCAGACAAGCTGGCCCACCCAGTCAATCGTGGCTGCACCTCGGCGCTGCTGCCAAGCGCCTGGATGTTCGGACATTGCTGCTGTCAGAATTGCTGACAGCCAGCATCCCGGGGCCCCGCCAGAGAAGCCCGTTTCCATTGAGTTGCCGCTGAGTTGCCTCTGCCTTTCGGTTACTGTGTTGCGCTTGGATGCGGAGAAGCAGCACGCACGTGGCAGACGTGGCGCTGATTGATTTTTCGCTCGGGAATGGCTCAGATGTCGCTGTGAATGACCCCAGAGGCTCGCGCCACAGCCGAAACCGTGTTTTGTGGTGTTGTCGGGATGGAAATTGTGCCGCAGTCCCGCGCTATTTTTGTCAGTAAAGTCCAAGCCGGCCAGCACTATTCGCCTCCGCCCATCCGTTTGCATGAAGGGTTGTGTGAGCCTGTGCAGATATCATGCAGGCACCGTGTCTGAAACAGGTCAGTGCATTATGGCACGTTATATCTTTGAGGGGCTAAGTTCTACAAGACTCCGTCTGCTGGCCGGGCGGTGGCAATGACGAGGTAGCGTGCTGGGCCTCACATCCGGTGTTTCTCCTGTGCACAGCTGTCTTTAGCAGACCGACTGAAAAAAGAAGCACCATTGAGATTATACTTAGGGCGTCACATCTGATAAGGAGAAGCGGCTCTCCATGGCAACCGCATCGCACGGCCACTTATATGACTCTGGGCACGACGGTCAAGAACTCGTGACAAGTTCAAGAAGATACCGTCATCTGGCCCAACGGACGAAACAAGCAACCATCCGGCGCGAGCTCCCATACAGCATATTTGCGGTCCTTGCGCTGAGACCCTACGTGACCTTCAAGCGACCCCATCTAACGGTCGAGCGCCCACTTTAAACCTACATGCTCTGCGAGGAAACGATTACTGTAGGTTTAGTCAGGGCATTTCTGGGCAACGTGGCAGCATGCACCAAGGCAAGGCCATAGAAGAGGTTGTCAAACAACTATGCAAGCAGCCAGCTGAAACCACCTTCGGCTGCACGTGCAGGGATGCAACAAGCTCATTTTCTCGATTTGTTTTTTTCGAGATCCTTAAAGAGTGAATCGTGGTGCCTCGCCGATTAACCTAGGCCTTGGACGATCGACCTCGCTTTGCAAGTTTTTGGGAAGCTGAGAGAGAAGATTCCTACGGTGCACCCTCAACGCTGCAGTCATCATTGTCGCCATCCAGCCAGCCAAACCATACTTACACGTAGCTTGGGAAGTCACCTTCAGGAGCAGTTGCCTGATGTTATTGTTGGTGCTTGCTCTCATTGCTGTGCTGTTGATCTGGATGGTCTTGTGACCAGGTGATGTTGCAGCTGATGATGAGGACCCAAGGCCGCGTGACGATGTTCGTTTGTGTAGCCACAAGCAGAAGTCTAAATGTTTGAGTGGGGCTACGCATGCTCGAAGTTTCGCAGATGCTTTGTGTACTTCAGTTACGCGGCGTATGATTATACATAGCTCCCAGACCTCGAGAAACTCGTGCATGACCAGGCAGAGTTGCAGATGGAGAGGGTTGCACAAGAGTGAGCGACAGTGTGAAAGACAGAGGCACCGTGTTCAGAGGGATGAACTTTGGTCAACAAGGTTCACAAAATTGAAGGGCATGCACCAGCATGGACCACTTCGCCCGCAGCTAGCTATTCTGGCTTCACGCTGGCGAATCAAGACCGCTGCGACGTAACCGCACAGCCCAAGACACCCAAACTTCGCCGTATATTTGGCCGACTCCTTCCTGGCTCGAGCTTGCAGCGAAGCCGCTGGGACCTGCGGCTGCTTCCTCGGCGAGGACAGGGCTGCATGAGTAGAATCACGCCCAATCCTCTAAGCTAGGATTTGTGTCCCATGCTCCATCTTCATGCAATTAGTTGCTGTCTGCTTGAAGTCGCCGCGATCACGGGTGGTGTTTGTTTACTCCTGGCCCAACTGGTGCTGTTTTCTTGTGTAGGCAGGTAGGTACGAGGCGCTGTGTTTAGTTTTATGCACGTATGTAGGGCAGGTATGTATGAATGTTGGAAGTCACTGTTCGTGTATGACTGCATGTATCTCTATATATGCAATCATGTAGCAGGCATGGGCGTATGTCGCTGTGCCGGTAGCTGCGTGTGATAGCATGCGTGTGCACGTATGTTTCGTGTCTGTCTGTCTGTCTGTCTGTCTGTCTGTCTGTTTGTCTGTCTGTCTATATGTAAGCACGGAAGCATACTCCGTGGGTATGGATGTATGTGTGTGTGTGTGCGCATGTCTGTATGATTATGTAAGTAAGTAAGCAAGCACAGTAACCAGAGTAAGTAAAGTAAGTAAAGTAAGTAAGAAAGTAAGACTGAAAGTAAGTAACTAAGTAATTTTGTAGGTATGTAAGTAAGTAAGTATGCAGGTAGGTAGGTATGTACGTATGCATGCAAGGATGTAGGCAAGTAAGTATGTATGTATGTATGCATGTAAGTATGTATGTACTCATGCACCTATGTATGTATTCATGTGTTCGTGTATGTATGGATGCATGTACATATGTTCGCATGCTGCTGTACGGGTGTAGTCTCTGTGCTTGTCACAAACATGCATGCATGTATGTATAGGTGTATCATGCGAGTGCTTGCGCAATTGATATTCGTTTTTTTGCACGATGCTTCCTCGTTATGCACTCATGGGGTTATGCCGTGCGTCCATGGCATGGTAAAGCATCAAGACATCTCGACGAGCACAAGCTCGTCCGTATGAGAAAGAGCAAATTTTGGCAAAGCTCTTCAGCGACACTTCAACAAGCAGCCGGCAGAACTAGCCAGTCTCAACAAAGTAACTCAACACCCAGGACGTGCAATCAGAAGCCAGTGAAAGAATCACAAATCACCCTCAGAGGGAATTGGCGGCATCTTGGCTTCTTGCACCGTGGATTCTGGAGTGTGAGCTTTGTGGCTTGCCTGTTTGTGATTCCCACGCGTTTATCTGGTTTCGTTTCTTGTCTCTGTGACTTGTTTGCTGTTCGGTTTCCTCATACAGCTGTTCATAAGTTTCTTAAAAACTAAGCTCAGAAGGCGTCATCACATTGCCATGTCGCGAACTGGCATACAGATTCCAAAAAAACTTGGTTTATTGTTCTTACATGCCTATTTACACTTCGCCGGTCTGTTGGTTTCTGCGGGAGTTGACTCGGCCGCAGTAAATACTGTCAGGCAGAACAGTTCTCGATGTGAACTGTTCGGGTGGCCTTCAAATTCTATCGCAAGTTAACCCTAGAGTCAGGTTCCGAATGCTACTTCGGCTGTTCTGTGTAGCAATAGCTTACATTCCTAGCAGCAATGGAGTGCAAGTCCGCTCTATTGTTCTTCGGATCGTGATGATTGTCGAGATGTTACCAGGCATGCATAGGTGGCCGAACCAAGGCTTGTTGAATGTCTTGCCAATGTAGCTGTCTCAACAAGATTCAAGGAAGCCTCCGTAAAGCTTGCGTGATTCTGTGGTAATAGCGTGTATTCGATGTGGGTTTGTCTTTATTGTTTGCATTTGCAGCATGATAAAAAGCCCCCAATCCGGGTTAACTGCAAACCAGTCCGTAAGTTGAAACGTGATTTGTCTTAGGTGGGCGAATCGCAGGCAAAGACCCTTATTCATAACATAATCAACATTGCGAGAAAAACAACGCCAAAGATGTTCTTGGACAATATACTTGGTAGGAAGTAAATAGTACAAAGCAACAAAACGTTGAGTACATGTGACGGGCTGGGCTAGGAGGGCTGGGCTGGGCTGGGCTGGG